TCGTAAGCACAAAATTTCATGCATTAGAATATATAGGAAGCGAAGTAAAAATATTTAAAAAATTATAGGAAACATTATATATTCTGTCAGGAGATTGGAAGATGTGATGAAATGGATTCATATCATAGGTGGTCCTAAAAATAATTACAGGACGAAATTAGCTATTCACACAAACTTATTATATAAATAATAAATTAAATTTATATTGAATTAATTTTTTTTGTAAAAATAATTTCTGTGATTTATAATAAATTGATATTAAAGACGTCTCATATTTATTTAAAAATAATTCAAATGATTCGTTTTGACTGCCTCTACAAATAAATATTTAATACAAATTTAAAAATTATGTAATATATAATAAATGAATAGAAAAGCACATTAATAAAATAAAACAGAAATAAATTAATATTTTTATGAAATGTGAAATTTATTTAATAAAATTAAATATTAATGATATAAAAAGTAATTTACAGAAATATTAATAATACTCATGAATTAATTATATATCAATTTGAAAGCATATAGACTAATTTTTAAATCAGGGAAAAAAAAAAAGAAAAGCAAAATCAAATTGATGAATGTTGAATAAATTTTTTTTCAATGATGTGAAATAATATTTTATGATGGTTATTATTTAAAAAGGATTCTTACTTCCATAAACCGTTCCTTGATGACGTCTGCGATACCATGGACAACAACTGCAGCACAAACACGATATGCAAAATATTATCACGAAAAACACGACTCCAACCGCACAAATCACTGTGAGAAGAATCCTGCGAAAAAAATAAATACCTCAAATTTAATTTAATTCTTATAGTTTTCATCTTTTAAAATTAAATATCTATAAAAATTATTATGCAAAAAAACTAGAATATAAAACAATTTTTTAAAATTGTTCAATAATAAAAATAAAAAAGAATTTTATAGAATAAAATTATAAATTAAAAAAGCATTTCTATTTATATCTATATAGATAAAATATTATTTAGATTATTTAATTCATAAATATAAAAATAAGAAAAAATTTGAAAAAGTAAATTTATAATAAGAGTAAGTAAATTTTTATATCTATAAATATTTATATTTATAAATAAAATATTATTTATAGATAAGAAGAAAGAAAAATGAAAAAAGAAATAAGAAATAAATAAGAAAAAATTAAAAAAATAAATTTATAATAAGAGTTATTTTTATGAATTCGAAACTGTTTTTACGGAACAAACATTTGTCTTAACTGATATATTTCAGTTAACTATGAATCATCTTAACTGACGCGATATTTCAGTTAGCTATGATATATAAAAATATAATATTATTGTATTATTTTTTGTATATTTTTTATGAGATTACTTTAATTAAATTTCTAATGATTTAATTAAATTCTTTCTATTCAATGAAAATGACACAAATTGACAAATATTCGAATTATTTTCTTTATCTCAATCAAATATAATCTGAAATGTTATATCAATTATTTATTTTGATAACAAATATAATTAAACTGAATATATATTTGTTATATATATCAAGATTATATATCTATATTAAAATTATATATATAAAATTGATAAATATAATTATATATTGTATATAGCTCATATGAATCATTATGTAATAAATTTGTTAATTAAATTATTCTTTATAATTCTAATAATTATTCTAATAATCTTACTTTTAAAATGGAAAAGAAATATATAATTTAGAAATATATAATTTATAATAAAATGTCATGTTATATATTATAATTAATTAAGAAGAAATATAATTTTTAATTAAGCTGTTTTAAATATTTCATAAAAGAAAAAATAATTGGAATAATAAATCATAATCTTCAATTGAAAAAAAATAAAATATATTATAAAATAATGTTATAAAATATGTTATAAAAAAATTTTTATGAATTTTAGAATTATGAAAAATCTACAAAGATTTCTGGTTTTATTGTTCTTAAATATTTCAATAAAGATAAGAATTAATCCTTTATAATTCAAAGCATACTTGTTAAACATAAACATTATCAAGTATTCTTCACGTAAATGTATATATACTTTCTAAATACTTCGTTAGTTTAACAATATTGTTAATTTCTATATATATAATAAATAGAATTTTTCTTAATATCTTATTTATTCTAAATATATATTTTAAGAATCTGTTAATTTCTCAAGATTACATGATATCAATATTAATTTGTTCGTAGTATTGTATAATTATAGAATAAATAAAATATTTTTTTAATAAATATTACAAATTAACTAATAGAAAACATTAAAAATTTAATAAATAAAATATATATAAAATAAATATAAATAAAGTAAAACTTAAAATCTCTTCTATTTTAAGAAATATTATAAAAACTAGATAGAAATTAATATAAATCTTATATCTAAATAAGTATTATTATCAAATTTATAATATTATAATATTGTTAATTCCAATAAATAAAGATGTTATGATTCAAATAAATAAAGATTTTACGATATAATGTTACATTTGATCTTATATTTCAAATTTCGTAAACAAAAATATGTTAAAAGTATTTAGAATTATTGATCGATAGCTACGATAAAGTGTGTTCTAAAATTATATATTATGCGCGTCTAAAAATAAAAAAAAATATAATATATTTTTCTATATATATGTGTAATGATTAATATACATATAAAAAAAATACATATAAAGTGAAAATTAGTTGTTTTAAATTAAAAGTAGTATTAATTACTTAACCTATTTCATACATAAGAATAAAAGTATTAAATAAATAAAAATAAAATATAAAATAAAATATAAAATATAACAAATTATATAAGAAAAAATAATAATATTAATATTCTTACCATGATGATTTCGATGCAAATTCCACTGCATCACAACAATACATTTCATTCTTTTCAAAATCATAGCAACAATAAGATTTATCGTTCGAATCTAATAGTCCTGGACATGAATCGATCACTTTCGATATGATGTTCTTGTTTCCAAATGAACATTCCATTCCTAAAAATATAATTTATTTTTTTTTTAACTTTTTAATCTTTTAACACTTTTTACTCTTTTAATATTTTTAACAAAATAACTAATGAAATATATAAAGTATTTTTTTTTCAAAATTATGATAATAAATATTTTAATTAATAAATATTTATTAATTATAAATTATTAATTATTCTATTTAGTGACTATAATTTATTAACTGCAAAGAATTAAAATAAATGTAGATAAGTAATCGTAGATGATATAAATTTCCGCTTCTATATTTTAATAACGGTTTTTTCAGATTAAATATATAAAATTAAAAAAAAATTAAATTCATATTTTAATAATAATAAAAATGATTTTAATGCAATCAAAAATTTTATATTGTGAAAAGAAAGTGAAAATAAAATATAAAAAATATATATGTAAATATATATGTATTCTTATTAAAATAGAATATTAAAAAAATAATTTTTTAATTTATAATTATAACATATTATCATATTTATTAACAAATATCTTTAAATAATGAATTCAATAAATTTTATATTATAAAAATATAAAATTATAAAAATGTTTAGACATAATAAATAAAAATCTTATTCACTTTTTTATGAGCATTCTAATTCTTAGATCAAATAAGTTTCGTAAATTTTTATGTTCTTAATATTTTTAAAGAGTTTTATATTTATTTTTTTATCTCGGATATAATATTATAATATTATAATAATCTCTTATACTATTATTAAATATTGGAAAATGTAACGAAAGAAATTAATATTTAAAAAAAGATTTCTGCAAAATATATTTAATATATATTAATTTTATTTTATTTTACTTTATAAAATTATATAATATATAAAATATATTTACTTGAAAGAATAATAAATCGTAATTTTATTCTTTCGTTTTTAAATATTGTATAATTTAAAAAAAAAATTTCAATATTTTTCAAAAGATATAAGAAAAAAAATAATTATTTGAAAGATTAATAAAAATCTAACCCAATACAACAAAATATTGTAATTTTATACGATATAATATTGTAAATGATACATTATGAAATTAACAATGGATTCTTTTCTGAAAAGGAATCAACTATAAATTGAAATAACGAATCAAAAAGAATATCTTGTTAATTATAATTATTGTATATATACATATACATAATGTAAAATAAAGATTTTTATATGTATATTTAAATTTAGATTGAATATTATCTATAGATTTTCTTTCTTTTATATTCATATAAAATTTAACTATAATACATTTCATTTTTGATAATTAATAATAATAATAATGAATTAATTATTGTTTCATATTTCTTATCAAGTACATAATGGATTTTGCATTAATATCATTATTATTATAACTATATTTTATATTTACACTGAGATCTCTTGTACTCACCATAAGATAATCCCATGTTGAAATAAGTAAGCAATAATAAAATAGTTATACGCGACATTTTAACTAATATGAATTTCAAATCACAATATTATGATTTAATAATATATAAAAAAATTTCACTATATATATATATAATTATTTAACGTGTTTAAACACTTCTCACACACAATAAAATGGAACACTGCAATTTGCAATTTGCAGACTATTAAGTATAATGTTAAACATTAATATGATTCAAAAGATGTCAGCACTATCGCTTACGTCAGTCGATTATTGCCGAAAAAAACCGAATATTTAATCACAATTTAGCGATTAATTTTAATTCACTATTGTAATATGTTTTGATTTTATTATTTGAATGCATATTAAACTATATTTGAATTATATATTATATAAAAAAAATTTATATTTGTAATTTAATATTTATAATATATAATGACATTTTCGATTTTATTATGTCTTTTATCTTATTATATCTTTTTTATCTTAATCTTTTTTTTTTTAATCTTATTTATTTTATCAATTTACGTTCATGTATGCAATTTTAATATATAAAAATAAAAATAAAAAAAAATGAGCCATATTACAATTTATTATTCTATGCATTTTCTACATTTTTATTAAATGTATTTATTAATTAGTTAATTAAATATTCCATTTTAAAATTATGATATATTTTCACTAATTAAATTACCAACAATATTTCCAATTTCTTTATCATATTGTAAAACAAAACTATGATGATAACCATGCTTACACAGTTCTGCATTAATATAAGGATGATTAGATTTCAAATTTTTATAATATTTAATTGGTACCCAACCATCACAATTACCATAATAAAACCATAATTTATCTGCACACTTTGAAATTATATCATCATCTCGTTCTTTTACTTTTATCATTTCTTCTCTTGCCATTTTAATTATTCTTTCCAAAGAGTAAGGATTTAACATATTAAGTATTACATTATTATATTTGAATGGAATTCTATATAATATTCCAGCTATACTAATAATAAAAACTTGTAAACAATATGGAAGATTTGAAATAATCCAAGCACAGAAAAGTAAGAAAAATGCAATTCGTGATACCTGAAAAAAATATACATTATTTTTTATTCTATTCTATTTTTTAAAATAATATTTTAAAATCGAAAAACTTACTACTTTAGTGAACCACCATCCATTATCACTTATATCCATATTTTCTATGGTTGGAAATAATAGATAACATTTTGTAACTTTTTTAGCAATGAAGTTATCTTTTAACATGTTTAAAATAATCCAACATCCTATTGAATGTCCAATGAGATGTATTCTCACATCTTCTGGTACATATTTTTTTATGAAATCTATCTGTAATTAATTTATGATAATTTTTAAAAATTTTTTACAAAATAAAATATAATAAATAAAAAAAAAAACCTTGTGTTGCACTTGTGTCATTAAACTATAATGTTCAGTCCAATTTGAATTACTTGGCATAGTAATTGCTAAATTGCTTGGTGGTTGTACATGACCTGCATGTGAAATTATCCATACAGGTACTTCAGTAGGAAGTTTTGATTTTACAGTTTTTATAAATCCTTTATAAAATTCTGCAAGACCAGGATTACCAGGAATAATAATCACTACTTCTCTTTTACCATAATTTGAAAAACCTTCTTCTACCCAGCGACCTTCTGTAATCACTTGAGTAGGTACACCATTCCAATTTAACATAGCACATTGCATTTTGTGTTTTTGCTGTAATAAGATTTTTAAAGATAAAATATAATTAAAATAAAATATTTTTCCAATTATTACGTAAATTTAAATTTTATTTAGTTAAACTTCGTTAAATTTTATTTAATGACTTTTTCTAACATAATATGCTCTGAAGCAAATAGTTAGATATACCTTCAAGTGTACTTGAAAGTTACATTTGACCTGAAAGTATACTTTTTTCTTGTGTCAAATGCGACATTATCGATTCCAAACGGGAATAGAACAACAACGCCACTGGAACGAGAGGAATAGTAATTTAACGATAATTAATTATTTTTGACATAAGAATAATTTTTGACATAAGAATAATTCCAAATGATTTATAGAAGTTTAGTATTATATTTAAAAATAATTAGAAAATTAAATATATTATAATATATATAATATATATATAAAAATATATATAAAATATATAAATGTGTAATAAAATATAATAAAATATATATAAAATGTATAAAAATATTTTTTATGGTCACAGTTTGAATTATATATTATAATAAAAAATTCTGTTTTTAAGTATTTTTAATACTTCTACGTGTCAAATGTAATGTATAATGTTCTAACTATTTCCTGATTTATAAAGATTTAAAATTTAGAAATATATTATATAAGATTTCAATTTACGCGCGGATTTGAATAAATAAGAAACTTTTTCTAGCCAATTAGAAAACAATCTTTTATGATTGGTGACTAGATAAATTGGTACCAGTTTGCTGTTGGAAATTGTGAGGAAAAATTATATTCCGTCTTCAAAAATACATAATTGTGTATAATTGTGTCAATTTTTATTAATATTTTATTTATTAAGATTTATTAAGATATTGTTTTATAATTTAAAGATTATTAGTAGTTTTGTTTAATTAATATGCATTTGTTCATCATTATTATATTAAAATTAAATAGTTGAATTTTTTTCTTTGTTTCATATTTGATATTTGATATTTGATATTTAATTATTTGATATTTGATTATTGTTATTTGATATGTGATTATTGGTTATTTGATATTTAATTATTGCTAGTTTGTATAAGGATTTTTAACTGGAGAATTTTTAATTTTTAAGTCAGGATTTGATAACAATATAATTTAATATAATTATAATTTTATATATTTGTTGGTTTAAATTTTTATTTTTTACAAATTGTAGTATTTTTTTACAAATCATTGAAGATATTGATAAATTTATAATTTATATACGATTAACAAAACAATTCAAAGATTTTCGTGCAAATGTAGTCAGATCTTATTTATTTTAACAAAATATGTAAATAGATGTATTGTATTTACATAAAAATGAAAGTTAAACTATTATAATTTATTCTATTTCATATATATATATTTTTTAAATAAATATTCCATATGTTTAATTCGTGCATTACATATTTCTATATTTGCTTTGATATTACGCTCAAAATTGAAAACATTTTGTATAATATTTCTCCAGGAAATTGGCGATTTACATTTTTCGTGCCGTACATTTGTTCGACATGTTGCGACTTGTCGAACTCTCAAGTACTCTCTCTTCCCCCCTCCAAATTTGTAATTCGATACATCGAAATTGTGATGCGGGATGTCACTATGTTATTAAAATCGTGATGGACTTCGCTTCAGATGAGTGATCTATCTATTACGTAATATTTATTCGATAGTTATTCTTTTATTTCTTATACTATATATTATTTAATTTATACATATTTATTCAATAATTTATTGAATATTATTATAATTGATAATTTTTTAAGGAATAATTTATTCTTTTTTTTCTTTATTTTCTTTATTCATTTAATTATTACAACAATTACGATTATATTTTACACTAATTATGTTTTTAAGATGAAATTTGACTTTTATTTTAAATTTGTTTCATTTTATCGCAATAGATTCTAATTTTGTATTTTATAATTTTATAAGTTATATAAGTATATATTTTATAAATTTATTTTTAAGATTTTATTATTATCTTATCTATCAGATTAATAACTGACTGCTGAAATAACTTTCTTGGCGGGAAAAAGGGATTTCAATATGGATGCTGAAATGATCATTAACATAACAATCAATTTGTGGTTTTTCACGTAGTGAAAAATGTGGTAAAATTTTTTTTGTATTAATTTTTTTTTAATTATTTATTGAATGAAAAAAATATATTTAGCAATTTATAATATATAATATATTATTATAAATATATTAAGCAGTTTATAATATATATATATTATATATATAAATTAATAGTATTGCGTAAATAATAATTACAATAGTGACTGGTATATGCTTCGAAAAACTTTATTTTTTTCTTTTTTTTTTATTAATAATTAAATTGCAAATAAAATAAAACATTTTTCGCGATTTTTTTGGAAAATTTATTATATTAGTGTTGCGAAAGAAAAAAGATTCATTCATGATTTGTTGGGCATCACATTGAGTGAATGATTTTAATGATTCTATTATTTCTTTGTTTTTTTTTAACATCCTTTTGTAAAAAAAATTTATTATTGAAAATATTATTAAAAAATATATATTATTTGTTATTAATCATTCATTTATTATAAAATTATTAAAATTATTGTAATTCGAATTTATGAAATTATTATTAATAATTATAAATATTACAAATATGAAATTTTTTTAATTTTTAAAATTGTGAAAAATGAAAAATTGAATTACTTAAAAATATTTAATAATTGATGTTTTTTAGATATTAGTATTTTTATATATAAATTTATATATAAATTTTTTAATTCATTATTAATTATTAATCATTATTGAGTTTGTTACATATGAATCAAAGAAAATGAAAGAAAATAAGAAACATATGTAATAAAACTTGGATTTTATTTGGTACATTAATTATCTTTTATTGAATTCTACTAATTATTTCATGTGTTTTTTCTTTTTGTTTCTTGAACTTTTCTGTTTTCAATGAAATAGAATGAAGAGAATATCCTTATTAGATCTAAATTTTTATATAAGTCGGATTGCAATAAATAAATTTTATAATTTTTACATAGATTTAGAAAAAAAATATTTAGATTTATAGTAGGTAAGATTTCAAAGCAAGGATATTAAAAATTAGAATATTAAAGCTATATTCCCAAATTTTACTTTGTTTTTCATATCTTTTTGTCATCAATTTCGCTTTCTCCACCTTGTTTGTTAGAGAGATTCTCCATTGTATCAGATTGTCATTTCAATTTTTCGATGCAAACTATGAAACTTTTCATCTATAAATTATCAAATCCTCGATTTCCAATAGCTATTTTCATATTCGTTCTTATACTTTATGTAACATATTCCCTGATATATATTACGACAAACATTATATTTTTAATAAGTAAATTAAATTAGATTTTATAACTAGGAAGGATATTTTATAACTAGTTAGTAAGTTGATTTGATTAGATAGATTATTTTTAATTAAAATAGCATGCATAAATTGATACTTTGCAAGAAATATTTACTAAATGAAATGTATTTATAATTAAGTGCATAATTTGGTGCTAATTAAATAGATTAAATAATGTAATGTAGACAATTAATGGTAATCTAATCCTTTGTGGAATGCTTACTTCGCTAATTTTTTTTCTTTTTTATGTTACTTAATTATCAATTATTTTTCATTTTCATGAAAATGAAAATGCAAAATATTGATACGAAGTCATGCATGTTAATTTACATTTATTTTATTTTTAGATTCATTTAATCTTCCGCGTTGGTTTTCTTTACGACCTCTTTTGTTTTATACAACAATCAAAGATTTAAATGTTTTGCAAATACATACTAAAAAAAGGATTTCTTTGAGAATGAATAAATTTTTGCGTAAAAGGAAGATAGATGGGTTTCCAATTCGCAGAAATCTCCAAATGACATTTGGATAATCATTATTTGATATATAATATATAATTGTATTTTTTATATAGCTATATAATTTATATTTATGCATTATATAGCTAATATTCCTGATTTATGTATTATATATAAAATATTATGATTAACTGATTAGCTGCAAATTTAATTGTGATGATTATATTTTTATATAATTAGGAAACTTACTAAAATGATGATAACATTTTCATTTTGATTCTCAAAAATTATAAAGTGAAAATATAGATTTTTAATTCGTAGTTTTTTAATGATTTAGAAATTCTGGTTTAAGAATTTTGAAAAATAAATAAAGAGAAAAATATTATTCTTTCGAGTGATAAAAATTTATTTATGCAATTAAAAAATTGAAAAAAATTAAAGAGAAAATAATTTTTGCTTATTTTTTCATTTCAAATAATTTTGTGATGATTTATATAATATTGCATCTATTAATATTTTTTTTTTTTTGTAAATTTTATATACTATAATAATAATAATAAATTTGATTCGCATCGACTTTGGTTATCAGTTATCAACTGAAATAAAATTGCAGATATTAATAGTTCTTATATTTATCGTTTCGAATCATAGAGGACTCTGATTTCTTGTACAATTGATAATGTAGAAGTCAAAACATGAAATATCTTATTGAAATAGTAAATCTATTTTGTATTTTATCTATGCTTTATCATACTTATTTTGCATTTTAATAGTTTTATATATTTTAATAGTAAATTTTTCAGAATTTTTTAACAATTCGATTCAATTAATGTACTAAAATCTAATTGTGAATGAATTAGTTATATTATAAATTAAAGTTTATATTTTATATTTTATTTATTATTTATCATATATTCGAAGACATTTCAATTTCAACTTTATTTTAAAATATAAATATTATATAAAATAAAAAATTGTATATATATTTATGATTGAATTTTTATAATTAATTGGTGCATTACATTATATTCAGTAATATAATATAACAATAATAATTTTCATAAACTTATTATCATTTTCATAATTACTTGTAAATTATTTGTAAATAAATATGCGAAAATTATAAAAGTACACACAATAATATTAGGTGAAATATGAATTCTTAAATATATAAAAATATTAAATTTAAAAGTAAATAAGAAATACTAATTGTAAGTGTAATGATAGAAAATTCTTTTAAAATAATTTAATTTCAATTGAAACCGTAAGATGGCATTATCTATGAGTGTCTACGCTGCCATCTGACGGCGAAAATTAAATATTACAATGAGTTAAAAAGATTTTCCAATCCCCTCTGTTATAGAGAATTTCACTTGATCACACTCCTGCTTTGGTCGCAGTACAGTGTTTGACGCGCAGTCGAAGGAGGCCAGTCAAAGCGGAGCATAAGAGCAAATGGGTGGACAATGAATCGCACGATGTTCTCCAATACAACGGTATAATGTGAATAGTGATAAATCGACATGATATGGTGCATAATCGGATTGTAAACGCGCGCGGTAATGTGGATAAAAAGTAAAAAAGCTAAGAAAAAAGTGCAGTGACTCTACGTTTGATTGGTAGTGCACGCAGAGCGGCCCTTCGTGTACATACACATGTAAGTAATATATATATATACATATATATGCTCGTATACACAAAAGACTCACACGACAACTCTTTCTCGTCGTCTCTCTCATTTTTCTCTCTTTCTCCCTGCATTCCTGCAGTAGCTTGCACGTACTTGCATTTTTTTTCTCTCGTTTTACATGAGATTTACGACCGCGCCCCCTTCGACTTGATGCTTCTTCAACACTTTTCCAACTTGCTAGAAATAGATAGTTGTATTGTTCACATCAGCTTCTTTACTAGAATTCGATTTCTTGTTATGCTAATCGAACCCTTTTCTCTTAGCAAAATAGCAAGAAAGCCAGAGAGAAAGAGAGAAAGAAAAAGTATTTCTCTCGATGTTTCAAAGATTTTACGAATTAACACATAAAAAGTTTACGAGATACTATTTAATATAATATACATAATAATTCATTATGACTCGCGAAATGGAGTATTAATACCATTTATTATAATACATTTTCTTGTTTATTTTTCGTAATGCATACAGAATCTGAATATTCATAGTTGATTATCAACAATTATAGATTGAAATTTTTTTCATGACACAAGTGGTAAATCCATAGAATAATCGTTTTATATGTGCGAGTTTATACGATGAAACTAGCCACGTTATCACGAGCGTTTCAGATTATGATAAATACTAATTCGCGTTGGAAATCTTGTAATCGCTTATCTGTCAGCTGACGACAAGTCAGCCATGTCGTAGTTGTACTAGCAATCATATCCGCGTGTCTATCATGGAAGTTTCGAATTTTTTCTCGCGTAACTTCGTTACAACTGCAAATACTATCAAATACTAAGAATGAATATTATTCATCGGAATTGAATTGTAAGTAAAGTTTAATTAACTTCAAAATATTGATTTAACTTCGTTTTCTTATAATAACCTATGACGGTCTTACATGTTAGATGAAAAAAAATTTATAAATATTTATCGCTCATGTTATATCACACAGTAATTATTTTTACATCGATTGCATTATTTTATATGTTTTTGATACATACATATACATATATATATATATATATTTATCAAGAATATGGATTGTAATAATTTACTTAAATAATTCATAATAATAGTTTTACCAAAAGAATAGTCAGTTAAATCTGATTCAGCCTTATATAATGATCTTTATTCATGACTGAAAAAAGGCTTCTGTGTCAGCCAAGATGTTCTGCTTGAGCTAATTCAATTCTAGCGATATCAGGGTTTTTCTTAATAAATCCTATAAATAACTATATAATCGATTACAGAAATATCAAGTTCGTTTATGTTAATTTACGCAATGGTACACTCGGGAGCAAAGCCACATTTATTTTTACGCGCAACAAAGTGCATTCACACGTCTTGCGCACAATGATCGAAAGACACTCGATCTATCGGTATTGACTGTCCTTGAAGGACAGCAGTAAGAGTGAAAGAACTTCTGTTTAGCAAAACTAAGCTAACTAAACAGGCCTTCGTTTTATCTTTCATCCCATAACAGTATATCGTACTTTGTGTTTCTCGTAAAATTTCAATTGCAAGTGTTTACCATTAATCCTGCGTTATACGATTTTCTGTTTCGATTCCGATTAACATTTTTAAAATATTTTCTATTATAATATAGACAATCATAAAAAAAAAGTACCAACTATTAGATTTATTAGTAATACGATATTTAATGATACGAATTCAATCTAATATCAAAATCCAATTTTGTCAATTTTTGCAAGAGATCAAGTTCTAGGGAATCTTTTTTCTTTCTTCGAGTGCAAATGAGATACAAATATCGTGATCTCCAACTGAGATTCGTCACTTTATTGTACAATACTCGATCGTTTATGAAATCTTTTGTAAAAAAAAATCATAATGCAGACCTTATAAGCCGAGATGCGATTTACGAATTAGCATACCTTTCTGTCGCGTTCGTGCAAATAATTTTTATCGTTGTGTAACGTAGGTAGCTTAAGCAGTGTGGGCCGCGTGTACCGTTTTGTTGTAAGATAAAAACCTGATCTTTGTCCTTTTTTGCGTGGTCGACAAAATTGAAACTTCATCGTTGTCCATGTATAAATCTCTTGTCTAGAGTCCGCTCCTGTTTAGGAAATAGACTATGCATTACGTTCGATCGTATCGAAGTTACCGCGATCATCTATCGAAATCGAATTTTCGTCTCTTTTCGATATTTTTCGCGATATCTCGGCGATAGAGTTATTAGTAATGTAAACTTGGATAAATTATTATTGAATAGCGTGTAGTTATTTTTTAGCAGAAGATTACTCATTATTTGTATTCATACTTAAATCAGAAGTTGCAGCAAACAATACGTAGAAAAGTTTTATTAAACTATCGATGACGCGGTCGGAATATCGAATTGTCCTTCGATTGATGATTCATTGGTATCGACTCGATTATGATATCGATCACAAAGATAAAGAAAGTATGATCTAGAACGGTCCAGATGAAAACACATTTATTTTAAATCGTAAATTAAATTATAAATAAACGAATCTTTGTATTAAATTATTCGTATTGATTAGATTAGAAAATTTTAAATAAATAAAACAGGATTATCGATATAAATTCTTAAATAAAAATCCGATTAATACCGAGTCACGGTTCGTTAGAGTGAATTGGATCGATTTCGAGTCCGCGAAAATGAAATATCTTGTTTTTAAACGGTGGATTAATTGCAATTTCTGCGGCGAATCGGAAGCGTCGATCGAATTGTGAAGCAACCGTAGCCGCAATTACAAGTGAATCGAGCATTAAATCGAATACGGCGTGAAGCGTATTTACGATCATCGTCTTGTTATGCTACCTTGCAGCTGTGCTACCGCTCTTATATACCAGGCTGGTAATAAAATAAACGGAAGAAAATACGTAGATATATAGAGCAGGTATATACATGATCCTTTTTTTTCCAACACCGGGGAAATGTTCCTTTTCGTTCTTGACAAAGGCTCCTTCGCCTATTCAACGAACAAACAGGCATTGATCTTTTTTCTACCTACCGCGACATCTTTGAATTATATTTTTCCGGATGACAATGCACGAGCCTATGTATGCACCGTTCACTTCCTGTGCTCCGTGAAATCGTGGAATCTCTCGCTTTTCCATCCATCGATTTTTCTATTTCACGTATTTACGCTTTTTATCGCTTTCGCGGAATTTTCTTAAGATTTGCAAATTTCCAAAAATTTAGAATTTCCTGTTTTTGATCGCCGTCTCGAGAAATTGTTCGAGTTTTTCGAAAATTTTATTTATTTTGCGATTAAATGTAATCAATTTTATGTATTAATTCTTTCTGGCCAATTATTTCGAACGGTTGAAACATCTCGAATACCGTTACACCCGTATATCGTACATCCTGTATATTTTATTTACACGAAGTTTCGATTGAGTGGCAATCTATAACAATTTATGAAAAAAGATAACAAATCTCCGTTAGTTTTCAAATAATAAATCATAATAAATCAATGAAGGTAAAATTTCATCTAAAATATAAAAAGTATTCAAAATGTTTTTAAAGATATATATTGGTGGCTCGAAATCCATGAATCTTTTCCAATAATATAACCGAATTTCAAGCAGTGTTTTACCTTAAAAGAGGTCGAGGCAAACTTTCAGGTCGAAGTTTTAATTCCAATTTTTCGTCAAAACTTCGAAATCGATTCCAAAGTACTGCTCGCATATAGAAACATCTCATCCTATTATTAATTATAAAATAATTTCGTACGTAATTAAATTTTCAACTGGAATCGATATTTTAATATTTCGATAAATCTGATTTTTTTTATTAAGCAAACGATCTAAAAATATGTTATATAACTTTTCTCTAATCACTTCGTGTGAACAAATGATTATCTATCAGATTATTATCTAAACAAACTACTTCAGTCGATTACTTTTTTTTAATAAAAATAATCGAATTTGCAGAAAATTTCTAATAAAAATATCTCTTTTACTTCTCTTCGTTACGATTCTTCAAATTTTCTTCAAATTTTTTTTAGTCCAGGATTATAAATAATTCGACGGATAGGAATTTCGCATTCGAGTGGCTTCCTCTTTATTCTTAGCGCTGTTAGAAACTTGGAAACGCAACGTGTTTGGCCATAGTCGCAGCTGCGTTTCGGATTTATGAGTTTATCGATCCGCACGAGAATCACGGACAGGAACGATGTAGCTACGTACACGTGTGTGCTACTACGTGAATCTAATTCACGATTCCTTTACTCTAACGCGTGCACAAGTGTGCCTCTTCGAAGACAGAAAAACGCACGAATGTATACGTATGAATAGAAAATTCAAAGAGGAGATTAAAATAAACGTGAAAGTTTTACGAGTTGTGAATCTAGCGCAAAATTAAATTGTTCAGAAATAAGCTTCAATGAGATTTTTTAGAATCGTATTTCTTAGGATCGTTCTAAGAAATCCACTCGTTTCGCCCGAACATTCTCTGCACACCTTGGTCTTCAAGCGACGAAACTGAGCCACGCCGCGTTCTGCACGATTCGCTGCGGAGACGAACATTTTATTCTTAGATAGAGCTGTTCGCGAGAACGTCTCATTCGAGAGAGATGAACTTTTCTCGTTCCATTTTCAAACGGGAATCAATTTCTTTTTCCCCTCGTGGAATATTTCCAAGTTATTTTTGAACAAATTTTTCCATTTTTATTTATTTATTTATTTATTTATTTATTTTTGTATTACTTTTTACGACAAATTGCGAACGAATATCTTTATCCCTCGAGATATAATTTTATTTCCATTTCGCGGTTGGAAATAAAAATGAACTTGAGAAAAAATTACGATCCTTACGAAACGAAATATTATTCTTTCACTTTGCTTTCTAATATCGATTTAAAAAAAAAGAGGCGTTTTACTTTCTAACTACCGAGGTATTTTAGAGGGTGGAAACGAGATCGTCTGCTTTTCAATTACATCTCTTCTTTTTAATTTTGCACACTCGAACACGTGCAACTTTTAACAGACTTTCATTT